AACGGGACCAAACAGCAACCCGGGCTTGCAGTCTCCATTGTCATCGACAGACGTGTATAAAGCTAGGGATATATGCATCGGCAGGGGTGCAAAGCCCTATTGTTATCCCCTGCTCTGTTGCACTACCCGAAGTGGTAAATATTTTGTGCCAGGATTTGATTTTCAGATATCAAACAAGCAGTCAGCTGCTACTGTTGAACCCTCGTATCCATGCATGCACTAGGTGTGTGTTGGTGACTGATTACGCAGTAAGATCCAGTTACAACCCCAAGGCTAGCCTGTTAATAATGACTCCGGAATTGACACGGACAGCTGGAGTAAGTTTGGTTCTGATTTTTGCCAAGGTTCAGTTTGAAAATGATAGGTAAATCCCGTCAGTTGTGCTGTCACTGTGAATGAATGCTTGGAATGTACCCGTTACAGCGAAAGAATTAATTAAATCACGTAAACTGGATTGCAAAACGCCGTGGCTTGGCTGGCAGTTTTAGAGCTATTGGAATTTTTGCCTCGGAAACCAAAGTAGCTGAAATGCCAAGTGTTTATAAAACGGGTTTACATATATAAACAGAGCCCCATGAAACGACCCATTATGCGATACTGAGGATCCACTTTTCACTGTGTGTCGGATTGTTTACAAACGTTAGCAAATGTGTTTACACAGTCGCTCTCATCACCATAGTCATCGTGCCGTATATGTATATTCTACTGGTTGTTGCTCAGTGGCAGACGTTGTTGGCAGGATGAGCAATCGATATACATTTCAGTCCCACTCGTTTGTCAATAACAGGCGAAAAATGGGGGCGGCCCCGGTGTAGTGGTTAACATCCATACCTCTCACGCCAAAGTCATGAGTTCAAATTTCATCCCCGGGCAGGTCACGAATGGCCCAAGAGTTTTAACACCTGACAATAATGATAAAAAAGAAAACAAAGGAGGCAATTTGTAGACGTGGTACTGTGAACGTTCCATGACGCAATTCGTAAAGGGTTGTTTATATCTTATGGCTACCAACATGCATCCCATAAGATAAAATGCTCGTGTAACATTATTTCCATGTGATCCTAACATTCGACCTTCGGCATGAGATCAGATTACATCGCTAATGTTTTGCCAAACATCAAGCAATTATGATCGTTAACGTCCCAAGCACTGCGATTAATCAAACTTTAAATTTCCGTCTGGCTCAATGAAGAAACCCTTAATTAACTGAACCTAGGTTAAGTCAAACAATTACGCCCTCGCTTTTTCGCTTTGGTCATCTTAATTCAATTAAACGAAACCATTTTGCGACACTTTTTCCGCCTTGTAATCCCCAAGCTAACCACCACAAATTGCCCATTGTGTCCATATTCGCGTTCATTTCGGGTTGCATCTAACAACGAACCTACAACGAAAAAAAGGTTGAATAATAGCACTCATTTTCAGAGACTTGTTATTGTTAGTTCCTAATATAACACACTGCACACTCTCTCTTTCGCATAAAGCATAAACAGTCTTCGAGCGCTGCACTTTTATGTGTATTATTACGACGATGACGACAACCACTTCGTTCGTTGTTCCCTTCTCTCTGGTGGCTGCTAAGACCTTTGCCGTCCTCGTCGTCGCTATGGGACCCAATGCAAAAGCGCACGCGGTGGCCTACTATGGTGAATGGCCAAAAACCTTGCTTTCAACAGCAGCAATTTAAGCAACAGCAGCTAGCGCGGCGTTAAAAGGCATTAGCGGAAAACTGCAAACCTAAGGCAAAGTGGTCGGTTCACTTGGAGACTACGTAGGGTGGCCGGTGCCGGTGGTAGAGTGGCTGGCCAGCACCTGGGGCCTCCAGTTGTGTTGGGTTAATGGAAATTTATTTCTAGCTTTGAGCGCAATTGCAATTGAAGCACATGAATGTTTTATGGTGTGTGGTGGGACCCTCAGAAGGGTGGTGGACAATGGAGGAAGGGGAGAGAGCGCGAAAAAATGTGAGTAAAGTAGTTTCGTGTCTAATGAAACTGCGGCTGCTAAATCCATTCCGTTTGGGTCGGTCAAATTTGGGTGGGTTTTGCAATGCTTTGGGTACTGACTAATGGTAGCGGGGTTCGTAAATTAGTCATTCCAGTTGTTGGATATTGCGAGGAATTCATTAGAGGTTTGCTGGTACGCAACGTTAGAATGTATGTTATTTTTTACTGTCTCCGAAATGTGAAACATTTTTTTATTTTTTAACTACCAGGATTACCAGGGCTACTCTGTACAGGATTTTTGTGCAATGGTTTCTAGAATTTCCTTAGAGTTATCCCTCTTTACAGAGCTCTTTTCTCTTGTAATTGAAAAATCTTTCAATTCACCCGAACATTCTCTTCTAATTTTTAATGATACTCCAAACAATTCACTGAGGCTTTCATTCATAACCCATTGAAAAACATGTTTTTTCCTTAGAATTTTCTTGCAATTCTCCTCTAATATTTCTTGGTATTCTGCCCAGAAGTATCCTGGAGTTTTTATCTTAATTCTTGTGCAAATTCACTTATAAGTCTCCTAAGTAATGGTATTATCCTCAGTATTCTCCAGAAACTCGCCTCAGAGTTGTATATCCTTAAAAAAATAATTCTCTTGGTATTCTTCTCGGAGTTCGCTTTAGAATGCTTGCAACTAACTTAAAGGATTCCATGGAATTAGCCCCAGAATTATTTAGGAAGTATCCTGAGAATTCAATAATCTCAAAGTTTATGGAATCCGTATGGAATTCTCTTCAGAACCAACTAAAAATTTCAAATCAAATTCAGACTCTTCTTAAATTTCACCTGGAGTTCTTCTCACAAATGACTTGGATTTCAAGTCAAAACTCCCTTGTCACTCATACTCAAATACCTTGGTGTTTAGAATAACTTTTAAATGCTCCTAATTCTTCAAAGTGACAAAATCCTGAGAATCCAGCTCAGTCCTTGAAAGCATTCCTAGGCCAGAATCCTATGTTGTTCCAGAGAGAGAACGAAGCATATTTTTTTCACACAAGAAATACACTGACTTTTCCAGGTTTTCGCTAAACGATTCCCAATTCAATGGATGCTAGTTCAATAACATAGGAAACAGCTAAAAACCATATCGTAAATAAACATTTTCACTGAAAATAGAGTACACGACCCGGAAGTCATTCCCGGAAAATGTTATCTATGTAGATCAATAAGCGTAGAGAAATTTCCAGTGGATGCTAAAGGGCCATGCTTTTATCACTTAAGATTTTTCTATTCCAGCTTCCCCTTACTAACATGTTCTGTGTTCTGCATGATTTCGTTAGGTATTTATGAGATTCCCTGCCTCCCTTGTAAGAAAATGTAAGAAAAAGTAAGAAAATTTATTTTTTAAATCTTACGTAATAAGGGCATGGGAACTTTTAAGAGAGGTTTAAAAGAACTTCCAAAGAAACAAGAAAAAATCCAGGGAAAGTTGGAAGAAACATCCGAGGGAACTGACAGAACCTGTCGGGTGATCAACGTCGAACGTTCTTTTGGGACAGGTCGGACGAAACTTTCGGGGCAACTCAGCAGCACTGCTGGGAAAAATCATGAGGAGCTTCCAGGATAAATTGCAAGAGTCTTCCAGTAACGGTCAGAAGAAACTTGAATCCTGATGAATGTGGGCGTCTTAGTGGAATACCTGTATAATCTCTCTCTTTATATAGGTTTTCCAGGATAAGCAAATAAGGTAGTGGAATTAAATGGAAATTACTTATCTTTCTCTCTTTCTCTTTATACAGAAGAAACTTTTTGAGGAAGCCTGAAATAAAACTAACAGATGATATCGAAAGAAGCTTCTAGAGGAAACCTGAAGCACTTCTGGGGGAAATCAAGCGGTTACAAACATTATAAATTTAAAACTGAAACTAGTTTTCGCGGAAAGATGGAATATACTTTCGGGACAAAATGGGAGAGCCTTCCTGGGATAAGACAGAAAAAAATACGGTAATAGTTGAGAGACTCTCCCATGAGAAGTCAGAAAAAAAACTCCCTAGAGAAATTGGAAGAATCTTCCAAATTGAATTGGATGAATCTTCCGGAGGTAATTAATAAGAAAAACTTCTGAACGAAGTCAGAAAAACCTAGGATTTGAAAGAAAAGTTTTCCTGCATTTTGAGATCACTACAGACATTTTCAATCGGGAATCTTGAACAAACAATTTCTCATATTTGTATACACAAGAATTAAGTGGAAAATTGACTCAAATGTTGCTTTGTCAACTCTCCCGTACTTTATACAGAACCATCGAGTTACGGAGGTACATTATGGAAATTTGAAATTTGATGCTGACGCTCATTTAACATAAAAAGACAATTTTATGCGGACCATAACGCTCCGAAAGGGGAGCAGGTTTGAACTCTAAAACCACCCTTCCATCGCGATGCTACATGGACTCTATTTGCACGAGAAATCACGCGAGAACAACTTAAATGGTTAACACGTAGATTTACTAAACAGTGCTCTTCGACGGATTGCTAAGAGGCTGAACGCGTTCAAAGGGTTTCAAAATATCGTGCACAGGAGTTACAATTTCCAAGCAACACACAAGTTTTATAACAGTTGATATAACCTTTGTTTGAGTGGTTTTGGTTGTAAAGAAGTTTACTCAACATAATTTCATGAATATGTGTTACTTTGGTTGAATGAACAAAATATATTAGATTTGCCTGCGCAAACCAACAGCACTATCAGGACGAAGGAAGTTTATGTTGGTTTCCATAGCCAAGCTTCGATTCGCGCGAAAGGGGCAGTACAAGTTTTGATAACAAAAGCAGATATACCCTTTTCAAATGTTGCACGAGAATAGGTCTAAGGTACAAAATGTCGAATGGAAAAAGGTTAATAGATTAAAAGGACTCAAAAGGTCAATGGAATTTCTCATCAACTAAAATTGAATAAATTCGATAAAACAAGAATATAATTGATATTTGATCGACATGTAAAGATGCTAGATTTTGTAAGATTCTTTCGTATGCTCCGTTAAAGAAGTAAACCAACACGTACCTGTTATCATTCTGGGCGGCTCCGTTCGACGTGTTCTTCTGGTCAAATCCATCTCGTGTAAAACAAACAGCAGTCTCTCGAAATAAAACTCGTAAAGCACTGCTCCCTTAGTCCGCAGCGCGTTGGTTCAATTGTCACGAACAAATCAAAACAAACATCCGAAAAAAAAGTCGGCGCACTTTTCCTTGCTCCACAAAGTGCGCAATTTTTCACTCAACCATTTTTCCAGTCGATCAGACCTGCTCACGACTCTCCGCCGCCAATCATTCCGCTTCGGCGGCTCCTCAAAATGGGTATCTCTTCTCAACTTGAATCACAATCAGGCAACATCGCCACACACCACCACAGTAGAATCACCGGACAAACTGTCGATCAAAGTCGATAATGCTTCGCATCAAATCGATAGGCCACTTTGGCTTTCGGTATGGTCGGAAAATCCACCGACCAATCAAATTCCAAAACTCGACGCGACATGCGTCGCTGCGTTACATCAAAAGCTGCACAATTTTCAATTTAGCTTCGACAAATTTTTCACCTTTTTCTGGTTTTGATTTCAGGTTTGATATTTGAACCACTTTTTAAGGTAGTATTCCTCGCTGCACGACTGGGGCCACTTACAACGAAATCAATCACTCTTGTTTTAGCTGCTGTTTTCCGTCAGATCTCCGACTCTCCTTCAATTGATTAAATAAACATTTCTGTTTTCAAGAAACCATTATTTCACACTCTTCGTTTGTTGTTATTTCTCTTGCACTTCACCTTGCAACAGATGGTCGCACTTTTCCTTCGTGTATAAACTCTTCAGTTGTTGTTTTCGCCGCAAGCACAAAATGTAAACAGCTCACACTCGCCACAGTAAACCAGTTGCCGTAATTAGCCAAATTAAGTAACCATCAATTAGCATAATCAATCGCAAGCTTATCACGGACAAACGCCTCAATTGAATCTCATTCAATTACACTTAATTTTGCTCTTCCTCGCAACACAAGTTTGCAATCCAGCGGTCACGTAGTTCACCTTTCATCGAAGTCGTTTTCCAAATTTAAATCGTTGCACATCTATTGTTTATCTTCTGTCACTGCACACGTACACCCACACCTACGCTGTCGTCGATCGCAACACCGCGCGTTCTTACACACCCTAATCCTGCTACTGCACCCTCATTTAGCCGGCGCAGGATACCACGGAGGGCGAGGGAAGAGGGGTGCACAAACGATTCCAAGCAGGTAAGCGCAATCACACACCTATATGCTCCCAGCAATCGGATCGAGGAGGGACGGAAACAAACCGTCCAACAGCAACACAACACTCACCAACCAACACGTCGTTACCCAAAGTGACGATATTCGAAACTAAACCGCGCTGCGCCGAAGGAAACATCTGCCACCCCAGTCACCCGACGACGCCAGTGACTTACACACGAAGCGGTCCGAGCATAGCCGAAGACTTATGTTTGTGGCTCACAGAAAAAAGGGGGAGCTTTATGGCAAGGCTGGCAGATTCATGGTTTTAAAATGGTAGCTACACGAGACACGTTTCTTCAGAAGCAAATCTCGATAGCAAATCCACATAGTTTGATAAAGGTGGTTCTTATCTAGCGTCCAAAACGTCAAATACAGCAGGTAAACTTTTTGCAGCTGAGTTATTGACGAAAGAGAAAGTCGATGAAGAGAATCGATCAATGCAGATAGGACCCTTTGAAATGTTTATCTAGAAATGTTCATTGTGGCTAAATTTGAAATTCACGACCAATTATTGAAAAGGGCCTACCAGCTTCTGGCAAAAAAAACTATATATACCCTTTCCCCTACACAATGATGCTTGTTGGTTTGCGTGGACGGTCCACGCTTTGCGAGAAAAGGGCTTACAAAGTTTTGTTAACTAAAGCTGATTAGTCCTTTTCAATTGTTGGTCGGGAATTGAGGATTCAAGGCTAAAAAATCTACAGATTACAACTGTCAAAGTTGAGTGGTTGAAGTTGGATCCAATTGGCTCAAAACCACAGATCAAAATCCGTATGCTAAATTGTGTGATCCCTAACAAAATTTGTACGATTATTTTGCTTAACGACATCCCTAATAAACTGGTACCATACACTAACGATATCATAGATGATTCGACCATGCCACATAAAGTTGGGATGATATCCCGAATTGGTGGTTAGGCGCTTCTTATGGTTATTATGCGGGATGTTCAGTAAATCAGCCAAACCATTTGTGGAATAGTTCTCTCATATGTGTTATCGTTCGGGTATGGTATTTTTTTATATTAGGGTTGACATTGAAAGCATTGAAATTGCTAAATCCGTTTTGTTTCATTGTAGAACTAACCATGCATCTTGTCACTACCCTAATAAAAAATAACCATAAACGAACGATAACCCAAATCATTGAACTATTCCATAAATGGTTTGGATGATACCCAGAACACGTCGTTAAGCAAATTAACCATACAATTTTTATTAGGGTAGCCATTTGTATCACACACATATTATCAAAAACCAACTGGCATCATTGATGCTCAGGTGAGCGGGCCGCGCATTAAAGCTCCGAAGCAAACTAAAGTAAGAACTACGTACACCGGTTGTTGTCGTCAGTCGCCCGTCGGTTCACTGTTCGGTTCGCCTGTCTCGAATCATGCTGATGGGTTAAATGTGGCAACATGGTGCACCGAAGCATAACCATTAACGAACTGAACCGACCGATCCGCGCCTTGGCTTGCCGCGCCGGTATCAATCCCTTCGGACAACATCTACCTTTCTCAAATGTTATACGGAATCTATAGGTATGTGTAGACTTCAAAAAGCAGCATGGAAGAAAAAAGGTGCAAGTAGGTATGTGGAGAAAGACAGAGGCATTCAGAATGGGACTGTCAATATTGAAGCATATAGGAAACATAGCTACCTCGCCGTTGTCCAGTGGAAGGCCATACCTTCGCAAGGAGCCGTAGAAAGTCCACCAATACAGTCGAATCAGGCGGACGAGAGTATTTAAATAACAAGTTTTTCCTGTCGGACCGATCCTCAATCTAGTACTCGAGACTGTCGAATGGTTCGGTGGAGTTCATTATTAGTGTATTCCCATCTAATACACTAAGTATTTTAAAATTTGAACATTATATTTCTAATTTAAATATTTTATAAAAATAATCACTAACATGATTTAATTGCATTGGAACATTACACCAAAATATTCAACATAACCTTTAATCTACTGCGTACTGTCACTGATGTTGACATTCATATGTTCCTGTCATTCTCTCTTGCTCTAATCCAACTAAACAGACGCAACGCACTCGATAGATCGAGCTCGTAAATATAAACTTATACGCACTCAAAGCAAATAAAAATTCTTCTTCGTCATCTCTATTCTAGTCCTGTCCTGTTGCTATTTAGCCGACTGGCAAGCACGAACCAGCACACGCACGCATAACCGAAACGAAAAAGGTCCTCTTTGCCTAATTATCATATCAAAATACCATAAATAATGATCGTTCATTGACACTCGACAGCGTTCATGGGCTCTCATTCCTCGTCGTCGTCGTTTACGTTGGCGCAAGATTGTATTTATGGCTTGATTCTTGATGCTTTCCTGTTGATGAGGCATTTTAAGGAGTTGTTAATTGCCGGATTAGAGCTAAAGTGACAATGCGTGTCGTGATTAAGGTGACCTAGTCAGCCGCTGCACACTGAATTCAGATCACCGAAGGCGGTAACATTTTACCGGGGTTTTGAACAGCTGAAAAAATCGGAAAAACATTAAAATTGTCGTTACACGTAAGAAATCAATAAAATCGACAAATTAAATGGGGTTAACTCAACTAAGCCTATAGAACTTCGGAAAACATTTTGTACTTTTTGAAATTTTCACTGATTTTTTAAAATTTTACCGTAAACCTACGTTGTTCTAAAATTACCGAACAGCGGAGGTGTGTAGTGAGTGTTTTATTTTTAACTTTATTAGAGATATTTTTAGCCGTTGGCTAGTTCATCTCTACAGTGTAGTGAGTGTGAAAATTACAAAAAATGCATTTATGTGCCCCACACATGAATTTTTGCAATGTGATCAACAAATGATATCTGTGTGTCGGACACATACTGAAATATAGGAGCCACGTGTGACAACACATACTATTCATTTGACATATAATTTTTTTTGTGTACATCTGAGTAAATTTTGTGTATGTGTGGTCACATAAAAATCATGTGGAATTTCACATGGAAATTCATCAATAAAAATGTGTGGAATTTTTTGAGTGTCGAAAGCGAGCAAGGACCACTTTGGGGAAGGTACGAATTGGGTTGATCATCTCTCTTTACCAAACTGCTTATCAATATATTGACGCGAAGGGGAATTATTGACATTAATATTGATGATGTGAATACAGAAATATTGTCAATACCGATGTATTGAGTTCAATATTGAATGTATTGACAATACGATTATTGTCAATAAAAGCAATCGTGTAGGGTTCACTTAAGCTGTGGAATTTTGACGTTTTCAAAAGAGTTGCTTATTTTGTTAAGATGCAGGAGGCGTCAAGTGCCGATGTTAAATGTTTGATTTTGGCGCCAACTTTGCAGATGAGTCACGAAATATCTGTTGCTGTCAGTAGATGGTCCTCATTGCAAATCTTTTCTTAAATCCGAAGTGATAATCACCTATGCGGACAGTTGTGTATCAGCTAATATTAGGTACACAGTCAGTCCGCATCGTGCTCTCTTGCCGTGCGAATCTATTTGCTTTTTGCTGAAGGAAGTGTTACTACTACCTAAAGCTAGGGTAAACGCTCCTATAGTTGCGGTACGTTAGAAGCGTTAGGTTCCTATAGTTGTGTATGGAGACTCCATACACAACTATAGGAACCTAACGCTTCTAACGTACCGCAACTATAGGAGCGTTTCCCCTACACCAAATTTAAACAGCACTTTTCAGAGCTCAAACTGTAAAAATGTTCTACCTTGTTCAACTCTTATTCCTCTTCGATCCTTGTTTGGACCCTACCCGAGGTAATCCTTCTTGGATATCGATCTGGAATTTCTTCGATCCTTCAGATTCTTATAGTAATCTGCTTGGAAGTCGATTTGGATAAAAATTTACTGCCTCCATGGCACCTAAACGCAAAAGAAAGGGACAAACTCTTGATCCCCCTTCTGATGAAATTAATTTGAGTAATCAATTTGAATTGCTCACGGATGATGAGAATGATCCATCATCCAAGAAAAATTCTAGTAAACTTTCCCGGCTTAATGCCAAGAAGGAAAAGATTCCCCCTATTGTGATAACCACTTCCGATTTCCATGCTCTTCGCATGGAACTTTTGAACTTCGTGCAAGTTAAGTTTTCTCTACAAATTGGACGTCGGGGTGAATGCCGTGTATTGGCTGAAACCTTGGACGGATTTAAATGTCTTCTCAAGTATCTTACTGAGAAGCAGCACAAATTTTTTATTAACGGCACCAAAACTGAACTTGTGTTCAAGGTTGTCATGAAAGGACTGCCCAGTGGTGAATCCCTGGATCAGATCAAAGATGAACTGGCAAAGTTACTTGGAGTTGTGCCACTCCAAGTAATCAAAATGAAAATGAAATCCCGTCCTGGCGATTCGCGCAACGGGATTTCTAATGATTTTTATTTCGTTCACTTCAAGTCTAGGGAACTAAACAACCTTAAGGCCTTAGAAAAAGTTAGCCTTATGCTCCATGTCCGAGTGAAGTGGGAACAGTTGTCCTAGTTCGCTGTTCTAATATCTATATACAATCTTCACACTGCCGTACTCTAACGGAACTATCAACTCTATGCTTTCATCTACTCCATCTATCGTATAAAAATTACCACTACAGTCTGTTATTTGAAATTAGCATCTTCAACTATGTAAATCGTTGACTTCACGTAGAAGTAATACTAAAAAACATATAGTCAAAGTACTCTTATTTTATTTATTTTACGCAGATAGATTTATTTGGGTTTGCAAGGGAATTATACTATTGAAATATTTCAGAAAGTGCCCAACGGTGCTCCTTCTATTTGCGTGACAAGCTTTCATTTTTGTTTTCATTGAAGTATTACTCAGGAAACAATGTTAAACATAATTTTTGTACATGGTATTGTAACTAATCTTATATGTGCTTCATTTTGATTTGGGATAAGTGTTTGAACTATGGCTCGAGATTTCCACTGTGGTGTGCTTCTATTGTGACATACCCATATGTATTTTTGTGGTGCGACATAGTGGAAACGTGAGAGCGTAATTGGAGCATATACCCTATATAATTTAAAAATCAGCTAGGAAACTAACTTCAAAATGAAGCATTTTAGTCACATGAAGGTGTTACCTGGGTCGAACTAAGATATAATA